GAGAGAGAGAGAGAGAGAGGCCGTGTGAAATTGGCTTCATGCGACCGGGACGTGTCGAGGGGAGAAGAGAGAGTCATCAATAACCAGCGTAACCTCATGGACGAGATATTTCTGTGTCAACGTTCAGGTGGAAACACAAAGACAACGGACACTAACTACACAAAGTCACATGTTCACAACAGACACGAGTATCACACGACAACAACGACCTCGTTTTGTTTTTAAATCCAGAGCAAATGTAATTCTCAGGAAGTAAGTTTTGAAGTAAACGTGTTTTTTATCGACTGGAAATGAAGATAAACGATATGCACACATTAAATAAAACTTTCTCAAAGATAATTTCTGTGATTTTAGATGGTTCTTGAATTTTTAATTAGTTAAAAGAATTAAAGAATTATATAATAACAGGCTTCATGAGAGGCGGTGATATTTTGTTTTTTAGTTTTGCTCGTCGATACATCAACCCCCTGCAGATGTATTAAAGTTATCCTCTACTTCAGACCATTAAAAAGTTCTTCTGATAAGTGACCAGAGGGAAGTTAAAAGTCTGCCTCCATAACTTTACTTTGAATGTGTTTGCATCATAAACTTCCTGGACGCAAACTATTTCCATGATTGATGAGTTTGTCCACTGCCGGTCTTTAAAGAGACGTGACACCAGAGCTGAGGAGCAGAAACCTTTATGAAACATTGAATTCCCGCTGTGTGGAAGTGCTTCGCTGGCAGAATATAAAGAGCGCGGCCAAATAATCAGAACACAGACACAATTAACCGCTTTATTTTTGGCCACCGTGGCTCCAGCCGTGAAAAGAGCCTCAAACTAAACGACTCTTTCTTGAAATGAGGCGATTCGTTTGGCTGCTTCTGAGCCGAAGCTTCAAAACCACGAGAACGAGTGAAACTGAGAGTTTGTTTCTGGTTCTGTGGAGATTAATTCCTCCGACACATTCAGTCTCAGAGAAGCGGACGATGTTTGAGTCCATTTAAAATTTGGCCCAATCACCACAGTTTGTATATTTTGAGAAGAATAAAATCCGCAGCAGCTCTGATGCTAACTCACGATACGACAAACTACTTTAACAGGTGAATAAACAGTTTATTGTGATTTTAATTTGTTGCTTCTATGTTATTTAACGTCTTTTTGACTGAATTTATAGTCTCCTCAGGTTTGCGTGGACACAATAAAGAAATCCTCCATTCCTTGATCTTAAAGCTACAATATCTGCACATAACTTTGAACATCTCAAATGAATCTCTCTCAGCTCATCTCACTTCACGACTGTGGAAATATATATAACCAGAATTAAGTGTCAAGCAGCCGCCTGAGTGACAAAGCTGCCGCGCTGCACATCCCCTGAACAGCAGCTACACCCTCTCCACCCACTCGCTGCATTATACACTACAACAGGCGGGATCCTTCGGCTGCAATAACAACAATCATCACATCTCGCTGCTTGATTCACTTCCGACACACACGCACACATCAATCACATGGCGGCGCAGCGTCTTCGCGGCCGCTGCCATCTCCCCACAGTGCATTCCCGTCTGGCAGTGAGGAGAAGGTGTTGGCGGAGGAATTGAGTTGTCAGACACGTCAGGAAATCACAACTGTAAACGTTAATGCTCCGCTGCACCGCTTGATGCCCGATGGTTAGTGACAGCGTTTTTGTAAGTAAGATGAAAAAAAAAACAACAACAACAAATATTTTACCGGGAGAGGTGAATATGAGACGCCGCGGTTTCAAACAGACAACGTGAACTTTGGGCGCGGATCAGAAGTCGTGCGGCAGATGATTGTTTTTTTTGTTAAAACGTCCCGGCGGTAAATCGGGAGCTTACCGATCATGTGATCCTGACAAGCTGTTTCCTGGATGTGTGCGTCGTCATTCTCAGCTCTCAGGTTGATCCTCTGAGTCATGAGCAGGGTCTGGAATATTAACAACAATGCAAACGTCAAATAGTAGATATAACTTCCCATAATACATCACTAGAATTACCGCCCTGTGGATGTAACGCCTCCACCATTGCAGTGACCTTTGACCACTGAAATCTGAAAACACCATAATAACAAACACAAATAAGTGAGTTGTATAAACTCACGTTTCTTTTGATTGGAAGAATCGGCCGCTGTGTTTTTTTTCCCAGATGAGCTTTGTCGTATTTTGCTCAAAAGGAACCGAGGAGATTGTCGTTCTTTTCTGCCTTGAGTTTAATTGGGTTATTTTTAAAAAAAGCAGTTTTGGGGAGGTGTGAGAGGAGCTTGTATCATAAAGTGTCCCTCCTTTGTTGTATTTCTGTGGGGAGGAGATAGAGCGACGGCTCGGCGGAACCGCATTAAATGGCTGCTTTGTCAAATAGAGTGGCTGCGATAAGGGCCTCCTCCGTGTTATCCAAATTCACCATCGTCGGGATTAAATTTCCTGCATTATGTGGCGAGACTCTTTTTGACGCCTCCTTTTACTTTCTGTTTTTTCTGCATCTCTCAGCCTCTCAGACATTTCCAGGCCGTTTGACTGACAGATAATAATGGTTAAAAAAATATATAATAACCCCGCAAGGTCATAACTTAAGCGTTTTTTCCTGCAGCGTGAAGGTAAAGAAGCTGCTGAGAGAAGCCTGATTTGATTTGGTGTATCGTGCATTGGCCTGATGGGCTGTGAGAGATGCAGCCTAAAAGCCCTCAGCCTCGTGGAATCAACAACAACAACAACGCTGGCCTCGGCTGATAATGAAAAAGTAGACGATGAATCGCCGGCTGAGTCAGAGCACAATGTGAATCGATAGGGAGCCTTCGGGGGATGTGATGCTGCATCGTGGGTGTGTTTGTGGACATGTACTTGTTCTGTTGAAGCGTGGAAACCTGTGGGGATCCGCATGTGTGTGCAAACAGAGACGAGCTGCACCGAGAAGAAGCCGGTCTGTCACACTTACGGCCGTATCTGGACAGATCTCCATGTCGCCCTTCAGGTCGCCGTGCTTCTTCGGCGTGGACATTCCAGGCGGCGGCGCAGACACGCAGTTGCCCTTCACGGCCGTCCTGCGAGAAAAAAAAAGAAAAAGAGATTTGTTTCCTTTATCAACTCAGCAGGTAGAAAGCAGCGGTGTAGATTTTTCAGCTCCTTATATTTTCAGAACAGGCTCGTTACTTTTGCTTTAATTCATTTTAAGGGGAACAAAGAGCGGAGATGCTCTAAGTGACGATGTGTGCGGACGCTCACCGTGGAGTCGTAACTCAAACAGACAGATGCTGTTGTAGCTGGTTATCGCTTTCTCTGAACACAGGTCTAAAGCAGAGGCTCCAATTTAATTTAGTAGAATTCATCGGTTAGCTGATGCTTGCAGTTAAAATAAAACTATATATTTATTTCTTTGCATAAAAGATTTGTTTATTTTTTATGTGTGGTTGTATTTGTATTTTTTTAGTTATTTAAAAATCCATTCCAGCTCAGTTCATGTCTGATTTTCTTGATGTTGTCTTACACACCTGCCGAGAAGCTCTTTCACGAACTGGTCTTTGCCGATAAACGCCGTCGAGCATTGGATCTGACTGGCGATCTGACCCATCTGATTGTTGCAGTGGTCCATGATGGAGCTGAGCTTGTTGTTCATCTCCGACAGAGTCTGCACCTCCTCGTTTTTCTTCTTGTCCTTCTTCTTGTCAGACTTCATCTGTTTCCCTCCGAGCACCGATCCGATCTTCAGCTCTTTCTTCTCGTCCTTTCCTTTGGGGGCGTCCGTTTTCTTGCCGCTCAGCGCCGGGAGTTTGCTCTTGCGGAGGCCAAACCAGTTTGCCAGAGAGGGCCCGGTCTTCTGTTTGGCCTCGCTGGCGGCGACCTTGCCCTGCTCTTGACATTTCTGCAAGTTCTCTTCGATTCCCATCATGACTTTCTCCTCAATAGTGCAGGTCGTGGGGCTGACTTTCTTCTCCTCCACATCTGCAGGTCTGTTTGGCGAGTCTGTCTGAGTTTTGACTTCCCTGCTGAAGTCTTGCTCATTAGCGGTGGTTGCTATGCCGACCGCCTCCCGCACAGGGTTCTCTGAGCTGTACACACAAGAGGACGGAGGCTGAAGCTGCGGATGAGAGGCAACTTTTGCCGGCTTACGGATGTTGTTCAAACCAGTCCTGTCGCTGATGGGTAAGCTACGCGCCTCCTTCTGAGATGGGGAGGTGATTGCCTCCCCTTTCCCTGCACCCTGCGACCCCTCGCCTTTAGGGCCTGATCTTGAGTTTCTCTCAGGAAGAAAGTTTTGACCGCTGGACCCCGTCATGCCGCCGTAGAGGCTCAGCCTGGTCCTGGGAGAGTGGACCTGGCTCTCCGCTAACACAACACTGGGCACCTCCAGGGAGCCCTGTCTGGAGAGAGAGTTCCCGCGTTCACCTGAGTTGGTGATGATCTGCGTTCGGATTTTTCCCGGCACATCGAGGGCGTTGATGTTGGGTTTCTCGATGTAGTTGGTGCTGAAACTCTGGCTGCGGGCTTTGGCTCCGTTCATCCCCAGGGCCGGCTTTAGATGAGGTTTGGTGGTGACAGATATGGATCTAGAGAAAAGTTGACTGCTCCTTTTCCCCTTATCGCAAACATCCCCCTCCTCAGCAGCTTCCCCTTCCAGTAACCTACTCTGGACGTCACCTTTCCCCTCTGTCGTGGACATCTTGGAGGGGGAATCGATACTGTACGCCGGCTGCACGCTGTCACACTGCGTCGAAGCATTTGAAGTCACTGTTTCCTTGGAGACCGAGTTGATATGATCTTTCTCTTGCTTTCCTGGTACAGACAGACTATTTTTATGGCTGGGGGGAGATTTTAAAAATGCTTTAAACCCCATCGGGATTCGAGTCTTTGAGGCTTTTTCCGCTGAGTTCGGGGACATCATGACTGAGCTGGGTGGACTGACGACAGCTTGCGTCTCTGTCTTACTTTGAGGGGTTTCCTGAAACGCCACAGGTAAACTAATAGAGGCCTTCTGCACTGAGTGATGCACATTTTCGTGGGTTGATCCTCTTTTACTTGCAAATGAGCTCTGGAGCGCGGAGCCTCGGAGGGCACTGTAGGGAGGAGGGACATTCTTAGAGCCTTTAGGTGCGGTTTCGGGTTCGGGAGCACACCCTGAGTTTGCAGGGGGGAGGTAGTCTTTCGTGGTCATTCGCTTGGAAGTGCCTTTCGTCGACGTCTGAGTCATGGCGGGGGACTTTTGAAGGTGCTGACTGGTTTTGTCGACCAGTTTCTGAGGTGAAAGTGCGGTCCCGTAGCCGGCATCCAAGTCTAAACAGTCTTTATCCTTGATGGGCAGAGTACTTTGCATATTTGGTAAGAGTGAAGTGTGGTAACTTGGGGGAGGGCCCCTCACAGTGGTCGGTGTGGCTTGTTGAGCTGCGCCTGGTTTATGTGCTTGAGGCGACCCTTCGTAGTTTGGTCTGATGAGCAAGGAGGTGGTGCGGCCCGGGGGAGGGGGAGGAGAAGGGGACCTGAGTTTGTTTTTGCTGGGTTCACAGTGTTTGTCTCTGGTCGGCTGTTCCACGTTGTCAGCGTACTCCAGGTGCCTCCTCGACAGGTGCGGGGAACCTGCGGAGGAGGAGGAGGCCTTACTCCACTCGGCCCTGCTGGGAGATTTGGAGTTCACTGCCTTCGGGCTCTGGGAGTTTCCTGGCGTCTTGATGAACCTGGAGATTTTAACTGTCGAAGAGGAGGAGGGGGATTTCTCCTGACCAGAGGGTCCTGAGTTGCTCTGTTCGGCGGAGGAGCCCTTAGACAGTCTCAGCGGGGAAGCAGAAGGTTTGTTACGACCTGGTATCTTCGAACCGCTGCACTTCGGACTAGCAGAGTCAGTCATGGGAGGGATCGAGAGGCCTTTAGTGGCTCGGCTGCTCGGTGGTTTGATCAGCTTCCGTTGTGGAGTCAGCTGCATCGATAACCTCTCTGCACTGCTCTCTCTGCTCGTCCTTCTCGTCCTGATCTGATACTCTGAGGGTTTTTCCGGAGATTCGAGAACGCTGTAGTTCCTTGTGTTCGCTGCCGTCTGTCGCGTTGGTCTCTCCTGCGGCACCAGCTCCGTGTAATCAGCAACCGCTTTGCTACCTTGAACGTCCTGTCGAGACCCGGCACCTGCTGTGAGTTTCTGAGCACAAAGTTCGATGGGCTCTCCTTCTGCGTCAAATATGGACAGAATACTTTCCTCAGACTGAGTGCATGTGGCCACTTTGGGCTCCTTAATTAAGCTGAAAGGTCGGGGCCTCCCGTCCGCAGACTGGGTGCGTCCCTGCTCTCGTCTCAAACACTGCTGGGCCAGCAGCTTGGCAGCCTCCCTCGACAGCCTCTTGGAGTCCCTCTCTGCCTGCTCTGCTGGCTGGCTGAAGGACATGCGGACGTCACTGGACCCAGAGGTGAGCTGCGCTGGATCGTCCACATCAGAGAGGTGGTTGGGACCCTCAGGATCAGGGGGCTTGTGGTGCAGCTTGGTTGGTTTGGAAAAAGCTGACATCCGCCGTCCCTCAGGGAGAAAACTGTTAATGAAGCTCATGAGTTTCTCAGGATGCTCTTTCGAGTCGTAACCTGAGGGCTGTTTCGTAGCCACGGGACCTGAGTCACCTCCACCTCCACCGTCCTGGATCCCCTCCCAGCTGCATAAACTCTCTGAGATGCTGCGGGAGCGTCTCCTACAGTAAAACCATCCGTCCTTGGTGGGGATGTTGTCTCCACGGTTGGAATGTGCCAGTTCATCGTCTGCATCATCAGAATCATACGAGAACTTCTTGGCCCCGGCAGCAGAAGTTCTCCCCTCCTGTGTGGGCTTGGAAACCCCTTTGCCAGTGCTCTTGATCCCCAGGGAGTAGATGCCCTCGTTGGAGTTCATGCAGTCTTTGTCCCCTGACCTTGAGACCCTGGATGAACACGAGGAGCTCCTGTGTCTCCTCCTCTGGAGCTTTCTGAGTCCCTCCAGGATGTGGCTCTCCTTGCGTCGTGTGGGCACCTGCTCCTCCGGTGGGGCGCAGATGTTACTGGGAGCTGATGAACCCAAACTCAGCCTCTTCTCCCAGGTCAGGGACGACTACAGGGCGGAAAGTGCAAAGACAGAAAGGGTCAATGTCACAAAACCTGCTGCTTTTTAAACGCTCATCTAAGAAATTAGATTAATTAGGGCAATAAAAATAAAATCAAAGTTCCTAAAGAACCTGTATCAGGGATCTTGTGCGTGCTTACCGTTTTCCCACAGGAGCGTCCGTCATTCCAGGTGTAGGAGCCGCTGGAGAATTCGCTGCATGCGCTCGACAGCGACAACTCGCTGCTGCTGCAGCTGCTGCGCGGGTAAACAGGCGCCGCCACCGTCAGACTCAGCTGGCTCAGACACTTGGTCCCAGGCAGACCGGACTTTCCGTTCGACTGGACCTCCTGAGAGGAGACGTGACGTTAGAGAGAGACATCTTGTGCAGGAAAAATTCGTTAACCCTCGGAAAATAAATGGTCTTATCGTAAGTTTCTCTTCTACACTTCACCTACACGTCACCGCAAGACAGCAAATCCAGTTTGCATCTCATTGCAGAAAATTTGATTATGCAAATAAACGATTCAAAATAAGGAAACAGGATCCATCCACTGTCACAATTAGTGTCACTTGTGTGTATCACTTAACACGTGCTCTTCCAGAGGATGTGATTCTCTGGCACATTCACGTAACATGAGGATTTATAATTCACAGTATTATTATTTCATTTCCTCGGTCGTCTTCCCAGTTGATCAGGTGACGTCCTCCGAGGGGGGAAAAGCTCAAAAGAATAGAGCAAACTCATTTTCAGACCTTAATGCATAATACATAAGATGAGTAATGTACCACAGTGTCCTATGGAGTCGTTTTTACTGACGACGAGTCTCAATCGATGCTTTTCTGGTAATATGACAAGGATTTATTCCTCTTAGTGCCGGCTCTTCCTGCTGAGGGCAGAGGAGGGGTCACGGCCCCCTGCTGTTTGCTCTGTATTTTAATATCTTCTAATGATTTCTTGAGGGGTGCAGTTATGCTACCTGGACGAATTACACGACGGAGAAAAAGAATAGCGCTCTGCGTCATGCGTGTTTGAGCTCACATTAGACGGAGAGTCCGTGTTCCTGGAAAGCAAGAAGGCCTTGCTCCGCTCCGGCTCCAGAAGTAAGTCTGCGGCAGACAGATCCATGATGCGGGAGTGGAGTTTCTGAAAGGCAAAGGAAGGACACGCCGGATTTCAGGAAATTAAAAGGAGCGTCAGTGCATGATCGGAGATGGACACAACAACAACAACAACAACAACAAAGAGCGATGAGGAGATATGACGTTAAATTCTTTTTGTGGCGTCTCAGAAAACCACTTCAAATTTAATATTTATAAAAATTTGTCGGCTCTTACGCTAAATCATAAATATCGAAACACAAATTTTTTTCCACATACAATAATTTGACAGCCGAACAAGTGCACATCGGATTCCCTTCAGCGGCGCCACACAGAGCTCGGATTCTTGCCTCAAAGTCATTAATGTCATTGACTGAAAAAAAAAAAGAATGTGAATCGGAAATAATTGCATCAGGGAGTGAGGGATTCCTTTTGATTTTTTTCCTTTAATTCATACGCTCGTCCGCAGCCTCCTCTGTTATTTAACTCTTCAGAGAGGAGGATACAAAACCAAATATATTTCCACGTTTTAATCCCTGAGCTTAATTACACAACGTTCCCTGCGCTCAAATTAACTTAAACTGGAAATGTGCTGGAACAAAACACTTGATCTTACACCGCGTTTCATGCCAGGAGTAAAAATTACACACTCACACACACTCACACACGTGTTTGTGTTGTATGAAAGGTAGTGACCTTCATTTTTCTCTCCTCAACTTTCAACATCCTGGAAAATCTTCGATGCGAGCTCGTGATGAAGCTTTCAGAGGGGCCGACTTTTTAACCGCCAGCGACTTGGTCACGGCGCCATGGAAACACATCGCCACCAGGCTCAGTGTTTGAAAACCTTGATGACCTTGTTTAATTGAGTGTATTTCTGAATTTTGTGGAATTAAAATCACCAAATATGCAGATGTGGTGGATTCGTATGATTTTTGGCCGCACTGGTTTGGACTCTAAAGACGGCAGATGGCTTTTTATCCACTTTTAAAGTCATGAAATTGAAATTTGCTCCGATGCCGCATCCCTGCAGCTCCTCGCCATCCACTCTGGAAGGGAGTGGCTGAGGTGTCACAGGAGGCTCTGATCTTATCGCAGCGTGCCGGATTTCACCTCCTCAGCAGCCTCATCAAGGATTCAGTCAATAGTGTCAGAGGGTCACTGAGGGGGGGTTAGTCAAAGGAAACGGTAGATGACAAGGGCGGGTGTACGCCGCTTGAACTTCTTCAGGTTCAAGGCCGAGATCTAAAAATTCCCATTAATGCCCGGAAGGCTGTAATACATCATGCAAATATTGGCCTTTTATTAATTATTGGATAAAGTCGGGAATAATGACATTAGTGCAGGACCGTGTCCCTCTCAAGAAAGATTTAGAGGTTTACTGCGAATGTTCTGTGTCGGTTTGGGCTTGACAGCGGTCGTATTTCAAGATAATGAATATCAGCCGAGAATAGCAGCATCCAAACAAATATATCAGTATTGGCACCTGCTGTCAAAAACACAGGGGTTGAGGCGTCCTGAGACACACAACACACACATAAAGTCTGATCTATGTGTCCGATTCATCACAACAAACGCTACACAAAAAAAAAAGGAAATGAGACAAAGATGAAACATATTTAAGAAGTTAGTGTCTATCTTAAATAATCCGCTCTGCAAATGCTTTCATGGAAATTAATTCTTGAATTCTTGTGAATTTCATCTGCAGAAAACTTCAGCTAATGGATCTTTTTGGCAGCGTCGAGTGTGTGACTACACAGCCTGCAGTAATGAGGTCACAGGCGCTCGTGCTGTGTCCTTGGGGCCCTGAAGTAGCTTCGGAAATGGCGAAGCATTTGTCCCGGTAATGGGCCGCTCAATTGCCACTTGCCTGTCATACTTGATAAGCAGCATAAGTGGATGGGACTGTGCGACTGGTTATTTTCCCTCGGCTGCCGCGGTTTAAAGAAAACAACCGTAATTTTTTAAGTCAATGCCAGGTTTTCCTGAAATGAATACGTGGCATCATTTTTGAAAACGCAACTGAGGCAGCTGAAGTCGGTGGAGGTGCACGACTGGTGCAGCCGCCATCAAACGCTTCACGGTTCCTTATCAGAGAAACTCAAGACGCCCCGCGGGGAACGAGAGAACGTTTAATTACCGATAAGCAAAAAGGTCCAGAGGAAGATGGGAAACGATACACTTGTGTGTGTGAGAGTAAATCTCTCTGCTTCAGGCTCCGGGAGAGAAAAAGAAATTAAACTCAGACATATTTTTTTATCAATAAAACAAACAGATACCTTCAGAAATGCGGCAGAGTTCGTATTTTGCTAATATCTGACATTTACACAAAGAATTTAAAGGAGTGCTGCTCCCCGTGCCTGAAAAAAACGGGGATTTTCTTTTCCACTGAATCCCTTTCAAAGAAAACACGTTAACACTCATGTGTGAATGTCAACGCGATGCAAGTCCATCGTGTTTCTGAGAGGCTGAATTCACATCTCCAGTGAGACGGCCCCTCTTGGTCCCCACAGTGGTGTCATCAATATCGCTCCTCAGGCTTTTTATATTGCTGTTTCACTTGACGATCTCCCAGTCTGTCCAATAATGGAGCTGAAAGTAGCAGGAGGTGACAGAGAGCTTTACAACACACCCACAGCCATATTATCTCTCCTTCCTCTTCCTTTCTTTTTTCTTTTTACTCCATTTACTCCATTTCTGCCGCTTTTTATTTGGCCCTGAGTTTTTCATTTCTACCTCCTTGTCGTCTCGGCGCTCACGGTCCTCTGCTATCTCATCCCTCTCCATTTTCACCCTCCCGTCCTTCCCCGCTTATCTACCCTTGCTCGCCTCATCTCTTTTCATCCTCATCTCTACAATTTCTCTTTTCTCCTCCACTCGAGAAGGACTGACGGCTCTGTTTCCCTCTTTCTTTTCTTTGTGGCTGCATGCTCTTTTCATGTTGACAGCGAGGGGGCCCCGCGGCAATTTGCGCTATTAATGAAATCCTACTTCTCAAACTGAGCCCACTGGCCTGCGATGCCAGTTGACAATAACGGGTTTAAACATACAGTGGCAGGTCTGTCGGTTTCATAATTACACTTTCAGTAAATTAAGCTGCTTTCAAAGCTGCACTGAGGTCTGCACGTATTCCTGAGATTCTCTGGAGGAGCTGTAAGTAAGAACGGAAATGTCTGACTCAGCTGCTGCCGAGAACGTCCAGAACTTTTTTTTT